CAAAGATAAAGCTAATGCTTCAGTCAGAATATATTATAACAACAGCTAGTTAGAAACGGGAATAAAGAAACAATCTATATAATAAATTGTATGAGGGTAGGTCATAAAGGGCTATACTGTGTTTTATTTGAGGTAGGGATGAAGAAACCTGAAAAATTTGAAAATTATCAAATAAACTTCACCATCCACTTTGCATCATTTATTTGAAATAGAGAGATTGTTATTTGGTGAATTTCAGTCACAATAGCATTTAGCAGGGTTAACCAGCACAGGAGATGCTTAGACTTAGACAGATTTTATTTTGTCATTTTGTACACACAAGAGTAAACAAAAAGAAATTTTGTAGAGTAAGTACAACTCTCTAGACTATTTAATTTTTTTGTGCAGCTTGATAAAGGTAAGCAGTAGTGATAAAAAAAAACAAAAAACATTGTGATTAAAAAAAGTGATATAAACATATTACTGTATAGTTACAGTTCCAACATTCAGGTTTTGTTTTTTAAACCCATTTTACAAAACATTTAGCAGGCTAATGGCGGGGGGGAAGAAACTGTTCTGGAATCTGCTGGATCCGCATCAGCTGCTTCGAAGCCTCTTCCCAGAGGGCAGCAGGGAGAACAGTCCATGGTGGGGGTGTGAGGGGTAATTTATAATGTTACAGGCTCTGGACATGCAGCACTGGGATGAAATGTCTTTTATGGAGGGACTCGGAGCCAAAATTATCCTCTCTGCTGTTCTCACCACTCTTCTCATCTTCTTCCAGTCTGAGGCGCTGCAGCCTCCACACCACACAGTGAGACAGCTGGTCAGAACGCTCTCTATGGTGCTTCTGTGGAAGGTGGTGAGGATAGGTGGGTGCAGGTGGGCTCTCCTCATCCACTGCAAGTGCTTTTGTGCCCTTTTGATCAGTGAGGTGGTGTTTACATCCCAGGTGAGGGTGTCTGTGATGTGCACCCCCATGAATTTGGTGTTGTTGTTTTAAAATACGGGTATATGTAATTAATTAATTGATTAATTGACATTAAAGATTACAGATACAGTGGAGATTAAAGATACAGAAATGGTGGCAATTACATTAAGCTTACAATGAGGAGGTTACACCAGACAGTTTGGTGGTATGTACTGATTCCAAAGCAGTTTTAGAAAGTATTCACAGAGAAGGAAATGATAGAAAAATATTAGAAATCCAGCAGAGTCTATTTA